GGGTTTAGGGGTTCTAGGGTTTTAGGTTTTAGGGTTTCAGGGTTTAGGGTTTTAGGGTTTGGGTTTAGGAATGCTTGGGATACCTATGTTTCATGGGTAGTTCTCTACATTAGGGTCCCTTTCAGGGTTCCGTTTATGAGGGCGCCGTACTACACGTGGGACCCGAAAAGTAGAGAACTATCTGGAAGTGTAACCCGTGTATATGGTATGTGACGCATAGACCCCTCGGTTTGGGGTTGACTTGGTGGATCAGAGAGCTGTTCAAAGGACGATTGCGACCTTCTTAGCGCTTTCCTCGAGCTGCTGGGCTGGCACTGGGTGTTTTGGTTGGGCTTTTGTTCTTTTGTGCATTTCCTCCGCGATCTCACCCCGGCGGCTTATTGAGAGTTGTTCTAAATCTGTGTTCTTCAGCCCTAAACTACAACCCTAAACTCCCTAAACCCTTTTACATTATAATCGAGTGTTACCAACAGGTCCAAGAGGACTACGTAGAGGGCAACTCAGGTCCTGACGGGTGCAGGTTGGGTTTCCGGGTGGTTGTTGGCTTGTTATTCTGATTAAACCCAAAGGGTCCAAGTTATAGTATGGTATATACTTTTGGGGCCCAAATACCTAGAAAGTAGCTACCATATTACTACTTGGACCCTTTGGGCAAGTAGGGGCCTAAATAATTACCTATATTACTTTCGGTGGGGGGGGTCCTTATTCGATAACTGCAGTATAGTATGCCGCAAAACCCCATTCTAAGATTTAAGGACCCTATATCAAACCTAAACCCTAAACCCTAAACCCTAGACCCAAAAACCTAAACCCTAAACCCTAAACCCTAAACCCCAAACCCTAAAACCTAAAGGCATCTTCCTTGTAGCTCTTGTTGCATGAGTTAGGGGGGCTCCCTGGGCCGCTTCAACATAAACTCCTCAAGCTTACCCAGACCCCCCAAAAGGATCTAAGAAAATAGATCCCCTAAGGGGGTTCCTATAAAGTACCCTTTAGTAGTTAGGGTCCCTAATTAGGGGATCTATTTTTTAGATCCTTTTGGGGGTCTGGGTAAAGACCCTGAGCTCTGACTCCTCTGCTATGGGCCCAAGAACCCGACATCCTAAGCTAAACCATGCAACCCTCAAGCCGTCACTCCTCCAAGAACCCTGCAAAGCCCTACATCCTAAGAAACCCTAAACCCTAAGCCCTAAACCTTAAACCCTGAACCTGAAGCCTCCAACACATAGACCCCAAAACCTTAGAAGCGCGATGCACCCCAAGCGAAGGTCCACAAAATACGACAAAGCCATGCAGGCTTCAACCCAGGACCCTGAAGCTAGGACACTCCAAACGATTTATATATGATTAGAATAGGGTCTTGATGTATATTTATAACTATAATGAGGAACCCCAAAAAATAGTCTAGGTAGTTATTTAGGCTTCTACTTTACGCCCTAGAACCTAAAACTTCTACTAACGGAAGCCTTGAAAGGAGCACTGCCAGGAGACCCTTTAGAAATCATCTCGATGCCGTAAGGATTCTTCCACCAGTCAGCCTCGAAGGCTGCCGCTGGAGGTGGAACGACGGTTGGTTTGATGATGAGGTTTCGGGGTTACTATAGGGGCCTCAATATTCATAATTACCTATATTCTTTTGGGGGCTCCTTATTATACTTTTTCATATAGTTTAATATACCCCAAACCCCTATTGGCCCCTAGTGGAGCCCTTAGAACAACCCTTATAGTAATCCTGTAAAGGAGCCTTATTCGAATTATTAAGGCCCCTCTATTAGAAGGGGGCCTGACGGGTTTTGTTCTTTTAGGAGCTTTCAGGCCGGGCTTAGGATGATTGGATTTTGGGTTTAGAGTTTAGGGTTTAGGGTTTTAGGTTTTAGGGTTTAGGGTTTTAGGGTTTAGGGTTTTAGGTTTTAGGGTTTAGGGTTTTAGGGTTTAGGGTTTCAGGTATTTTTGGGCTCTCATGCAGAGAGCGCGAGTTGCATGGAGCAAGCAGCAATCGTATACGCTTGTAATAAATGGCCCGGGGATGTTTCTTATGTCTAATTTATGGTATAGGTAGAATCTACCTAACCCCTATTCTTTTTGTCTGTGTAGGGGCCCAAATATTGTTGTTCTAAATCCTGCACTACCTTAACGGGCCACAAACTATGTGAACTATGGCATATAGCTTTTTATGGGTAATGCAGGATGTATGTCATCATCCGTAGTTCTATCCTCTTTGGTTCTTGAAAATATTTATAATGTCATATTGGAATGTTCCCCACACCCCGCAGTTTTAACGATTAACCCCCGCTGCTTCTTGCGAGCAAAACCAGCCCATAAGATGAAGCAACACAACCAGGGGTTCTATGGTTTAGGGTACCTAGGGCTGAGGGGTCTTAAGGTTTAGGGTTTAGGGGTATATGGTAGGGTGTAGGGTTTAAATGATAAGCTTTAGGCTGAAGGGTCTTAAGTACCTATGTGGCATGGTTTAGGGCTTAGGGCTTAGGGATCACTCCGGACACTCTGAACCAATATCCCCGGTCCCCTAAACGCTAAAGCCCAGAACCTACACCTCTGAAGTCCTTATACTCTGAATGGCTGCACTTTACACTTTTTGGGATGGTATGCTCCTATATAGAACTGAAAGTGTAGACTTACTTAACTAAGAGGCCTAACCTCCTGAACATCGACGAGCGACCCGAAACTCACTAGGTCCTACACCCTATAGCGAAAGGTGTGAGGACATCCACTTCGAGCTGACTGCTTTGAAGGAGGATGAAGCAGATGTGAAGCCATGGAAGACAGGCTCATCATCTCATGGTTTTGAGGGGGCAGGTATCGGGTTGAGGGTTTATGGGTTTCTACAAATTCGTATTGCCTTTGGGGGTCAGCGCCAGTTGGCAGGAGGACCGGAATTGGATGTAGAGAATTGCCCATGTGGTGGTGTGTAGTCCAGCTTCATACATATATATATATATATACATACATACATACATACATACATACATACATACATACATACATACATGTAAGCAAATAAGTAATAAGATATATATGTATATATATATATAGATATATAGATATATAGATATAGATATAGATATAGATATAGATAGAGATATACATATAACCGTTTTTGTATATGCGTACACATACTACACTACTACACAGCAGTGCAAACTTTGCACAACAAATAGCAGACTCTGACGATGCCTGGTATGTCTGATGACTTGTTGTTGTCTGCATTGGGGCCGTTACCAGTTCAATGGATCACATACCCTTGTTTCTGACAGTTCGGGATGCAGCTATCATAGAAGCGAGCGGTGCTCTACATGGCTTTTCAACCTTAAACCTTAATTCAGGGGTTTGGGGGTTTAGGGTCCCCAAGCCCTCAACCCCAAAGCTTAAACCCTAGCACCCCAAACCGCAGCGCGCATGGACCAGGGTAGCACAGGGGAGGCGCTCAGTGCAAAGGAAGAACCCAAAGACTCCAAAATCCCTTAATTAAGGAATATACCTTAAATCGCATTAGGATTCCTATTATAGTTTAAGGTATATTCCTTAATTAAGGGGTTTTGGAGTCTCTGGGAAGAACCATGTACAAGCAAACCTGGCCCCAGACCGAGCTATGAGGCTAATTTTGGCGTGTGGGGCTCTACCATAAACTTAGCTCCCCAAGACCCAACCTTTAGACTTTTTGGGTTTAGGGTTTAGGGTTTAGGGTTTAGGGTTTATGGCAATCTGAAAGTTTAACATTTTACTTTGTTGGTTTATGGGGAAGTAAGTAAGCAAAGAGAGCAACTAAGCTTCTTTTACTACCTTAAGTTGTAGAACCCTAAACCCTTACAGCGTGAGCGGAACCCTTACAGTAACCCCGAGCCCTCAGTCGGATTCCCAGGCACCTTCACTTTTAGCGATTCCTGCCCTTTTGCCGGACTTTGCGACATCTGCGACATGGACGAGGTGGCCCCCCCCCCTAAAACTTTCCGGACATCCTTTGCGAATCTATTGACAAACCTTAATACCCTTGGACCCGAAATTCCTGATTCGTAAAAATTCTTAACTCGAAGCCGAAACCTTAAACTCTAAACCTCAACTCCAAACGCTTTAAGCCCTGAACCCCTCTGGGTGTAGAGTTTAGGGCTTGAGGCGTTTACGGATGAGGCTTCAGGGTTCCTAAACCCTACCCTAAACCCTAAACCCTAAACCCCCAAACCCAAAACCCTAAACCCTAAACCCTAAGAGGGTAGTTTGGGGGGTCTGGATACTGCCCCAGGCTTGCAGTGCAAAGGGGGTTAAACCCTAAACCCTAAACCCTAAACCCTAAACCCTAAACCTAAACCCCTAAACCCTAAACCCTAAACCCTAAACCCTAAACCCCTAAAGCGTGGAACCCAGAGCCTCCAAAGCCCACGATTTTAGGGTTTAGGGGTCTAGGGGTCTAGGGGTGTAGGGCTTACGGGTTTAGGGGTTGAGGGGTCTGGGGTCTAGAGGTTTAGGGCTTAAGGGCTTAGGGCTTAGGG